TTTGTAATGAAAATAAAATGTAAATGACAAGTGGTTATTTTAGATTTCTTGTACACCTGTCTTAAAATGTAAGGGATACTGGAGCTTGGTTGGGGTGGCGGGATGGCTCGCGGTGAGTGCCGGAAAATTTCCCTTATTTTCAAATCCAAAACTTGACAGGTATGGCCTTGTCCTAATCCCCATGTGCTATATTGAATTGTGGTCTTGTCCTGCTCTTGTTCCCCAGGTCTTGTCACTCTGTCCTTGTTCAGTTCTAGGGCATCCTTGCCCCTTTCGGCATCCCCTCTGGCTCCTGCCATGCAGTCGCCATGGGTCCCTCCTGCTCTAGCCTCATGGTCGCCTGTTGCTCCTGCAGCCTCCACTTCACACCCACTGAGGGTCCCTCCAGCTCCCCGGTTCCACTTGCCCTTGGGTTCCTGGCCGCCTGGGCTCACTCGCCGTCCTGCTTCACTGTCATTCTCCTCGTCCTGTAGTACCTTCTGGTTCCTTTGTGCACCTTGTTTCCTTGTCCCTCTGTCTTCGTTCCCTGCTGGTCTCTCTGTGCCCCCTATGTTTCCTCTGTCCCTTTATTTCCTTCTGTTCCCTGTGCGTCTCCTGTGGGTGTACCCCCCCATCCCCCCCAGGGGTGGTCCCTCCATTGTCCCCTCATAGGGTTCCCCGGTCCTGTTTCCATCTTTGGTGTCTTTGTGTGTTTCCTACTTTTCCCATGGTTTTTAGCTTATTGTTTTAATTGTCCTTGTGCCAGATCTGGGTGTCTGTATGGGGCATTTGATGGGTTTTGCTTTTGTTTTCCCAGGTTTAATGTCCTTGGTCTCGTCTCCTCGCTCCCCTTTGGTGGGCCCTGAGTGCCCGCCTTTTGGGGGGGGTGTTCTGTCATGCCCCGCTCTGATCCCCGTGTACCACGCCCCCTCCCTCGCTGCCCCGTGCGGAATCCCCATGTCACTGGCTGTGTCTAGTTTCGTTCAATGTAGTCTGGTGTATTTAAGTACTTCCCTGTTTGTCTTCCCCCAGTCCTGTCATTGACGTTACTGCCTGTCCAGTGTGCCCGACTGTCTCCCCTGTACTGGCCTCGTTTCCCCAATAAACTCCTTTGTTTCCCCGACTTCTTGGACTCCCGCTCGTCTGTCTCCGTTCCGTGCCGTATTTCAGCACGTAACATAGGCCAACTCGGAATGTAGGAACCTTGGGGTCATTTGGCTTCATCCCCCCCCCCCAATTAAATTGACCTTTACTTTTAAATTATTAAGTTGTGTGCTTCACAATATAAAACTTCTACACATTTTCATATGCTGTTAATTACATGTTGAGTAGCTAGCTTTCCAGTATGTAGGGTTGATGCACATTAATTTCTGCAGCTTTTCATGCTGACAAACAGGCTGAATCATTGAGGGTTCAGTGGTCTTTGGGCGTGATGTAGCTCTTTATCTATCTCGCTGTTGAGGTTTCCTGTTTGCCCTGAGAACAGCAAGGGCTAACCTGTCCGGGTTCATCATAGCGGCAAAGCGTGCACATGCAACCAATCAAATTCCTGCCTGTAAAAGTGTTTAATATGTGTACAAACAGTGATCAGTAAACAGAGTGGAAACCCCAAACTCACAATGAGTCGTGCTATATTTCCAAGTGAGACTTTTGTATGAATTGATAAAGGCCATTAATGAACATAAAAAACTTCTGCTCAAAACCTGAGAGTTTACTAATATACAGTGGTGATCAAAATTGGAGAACAAGAGATGTTTTTGCAATGTACGAAGTCACAGCTTATCTGAATTTCAAAGTTATTCTAACATGAATAGAAGAGATGTATTTTAATTATGGTTCATCAGTGAAAGCTATGCCACATCACAAAAACGATATAAACAAGAAATTTGAAGAAGGCCTACGATCAAAATTAGAGAATGATTTGTTATACTTGACAGTTTTTGGATGTAATCTAAAATATCTTGAAATATCTGGCAACCCCAATCATTTTGGCAACATTAGTGGGCATTTTGCAAGATTGTGGACCTGTCCAAGGTGCCTGAAATCCTGTGGCGTCAGGTTGTTCAGATAAAGGCTGATGGGACGACCCTCTTAGCTGCTGGAAGAGAAGTTAGTTGTTCCGAGCTTTATTTCTCAAATATTGAAGCTGTACAATAAAATGAAGTCATTCAAGTCCCAAAAAAGGCTGGATGCCCACATATGACGAGGGCCTGAGTTAACAGGATAGGGAGAATTTGGGTAAGCTGTGACTTTGTATATTACAAATATATCTCTTGCTCTCCAATATTGACCACTGCTGTAGACCCAGAACTTGAAATTGCCACATATATTAAAAATTTAAAAAAAATTGCCACACATTTCCACACCCATTTGTTGACGTGTCATTATTTAAAGGATATAAGACTCCACAGTCAAACCTCAGAACAGTCCCAGAACACGAGGTAGGAAAACTCCTTTCTGTTGGTCATATGAATGAGGTTTCCTAAATATTGTAATTATAAATTCATCCCATAATTAACGATTTAACAACGATCAGGTATTAATGCAATTGCAGGAAAAAATGTTTCATTTTTAGTTAACTGCTCTTTCTTGGTTAACTAATTATATATATATATATATATATATATATATATATATATATATATATATATATATATATATATATATATAAAATCCATGCACCTACCTTAATAAATACTAGGGTTTCGATTCATTTTGTATTCAGATAGAGTGTCTATCGCATGTATTTTTTTTTTTTTAACTGTGAAATGTTTTATTACATGCTGTCACATCACGGGTAAAGACGGACGTGAAGGCAGGCATGGGGAAAGCAAAAGGGGCTTTATTAAACACAACTACACACAGGGCAAAAGGAAAGGGACCACGTGGGGTCAAAACAGGGTAGGAAGGATCAGGCCAAGACACAGGGCAAGCTGGGGAGCACATGCAGGCAGCAACATCAATGACCAGACTGGGGAGCTCAAGACAGGGAGGCACTAAATACACCACTGAGGAGGAAGCAGACGAGAGGCACCTGGGGTGAGCCACACAAGGGTTGTAGCAAGAGAAAAGATTAAACAAGTAAAACAATGGAGAGGACGAGGGGAAAGGAATGCAGGGCATGACACATGCTATAAATGACTCGCACTAAGCTCTCTCATTTTGTTTATCATTTCTGTATCCCCTTAGCTAGTTTGTTGTTTTCTATCAGATTCTCCCACCTTATTTTGGAAAGGGTGAAGATGACAGCATTTAAAGTACTTCCATTTTTTGGGTTGTATCAAGGTAAGGAGATTTGTTAAACAACCAAATCCATCCAGGAAATACAATGCAGTACTACGGTCCGACTGGAGGACCATAATGTGCCATTTGTTAAACCCAATCATCTCTTCTCAGTATCTCTTGGAGCTCAGCTGAAAAGTAACATTGTAGGAGGGGAAAATGCAGACCAGAATCATTGGCCTTGGATGGTTGCCATTTTTGTGAAAGAGCAGAACCCACACAATGCTGCAGACACCAAAGCTAACTTTGCATGTGGAGGCACTCTCATTGATCCTAAGTGGGTTCTGACTGCAGCACATTGTGTCCAGTAAGTGAAGGAGATGCTTCAATGGTGAACACCAGCTGAAAGTAGACTGCTGAAGCAATGTGTGGCAATATGCTCTTTTTCAATGTCTTTCCAATATAAAAAACATTACATATATGAAATGTACTGTGCCTCTGTGATGTGGGTGTCTTAGGTGCCTTGATGCAAAACAAATCAGGGTGCATGTTGGCATATATGAGAGAGATGACCCCAGAAATGAAAGGGAAGTGGAATTCTTCATTCAACATGAGGCGAATGCTCACGGCATACAGAGGAACGACATCGCCCTCCTCAAGCTCTCTCAGCCTGTGAAAGATGTCCAGCTGGTCACCCTCTCCAAAGCCTCTGATGTTTTCTCCTCCAATGTTGAGTGCCGTGTTGCTGGCTGGGGCAACATAAAGCAAAATGGTGAGTATAATTAGGTTACTTATCAAGAAGCCGTCAACAATCAGGGTCATTACTGTTGATCACTATACTCACGTCCATCACCAGTCCCAGTGGAAGCTTATGTGGCACCTCAGGCAAGCTTCACCACCGACACCCCCTGGCAAACACCCTATTTCACTTTGTCTAGGATGGTGCATGCTGCAACTCACTGTGGGGGGGGAGGGGTTGTTAGGTTAGTATAGACTGAGAAGATGGCGCCCTAGGCAGCTGCCTATGCCGCCAAATGGGTTGATCAGCCCTGTCTATAACATGGTAATTCACCCCTTGTGACTAAATTACTCCATCAATCATTGTTGTTCCCACCTACTGCAGTTCCACTGAGCAAACCAGGAAAGCTGCAAGAGTTGGCAGTCCCCCTTGTCAATACTCAGACATGCAAAGAAAGTTACAAAGATTCCCTGACTGTTTTTGATGAAAGCATTCTCTGTGCTGGGCTTGGAAAAACCCAAAACCAAAAATTATCTGGAACTTGTCAGGTAAGAGCTCAAGTTCATATCACATATGCATATTGCATATTTCTAATGATACTTACAACACCTACTGCAAAGGATGGAAACTGGTCACCACAGTGTCACCTCAATGGAGAATCGCAACTCAACCAATCAAATTCCTGCTTTTTAAAATGTTTAATATGTGTACAAACGTTGATCGGTAAACAGAGTTGAAACCCCAAACTCACAATGAGTTGTGATATATTTCCAAATGAGACCTTCTGCATGAATCAAACATAAAAAATGTGCACAGTATTGCATAGATAGATAAACAGAGCCCTGTTTGAGTTCCTTATACTATTCCTACTAAGTGTCATTTTCAGTTGGTTAAAAAAGAAGTTATTAATCATGTTTTGTGGACTTATTTCCACTTAAGCAATGCACAAGAGAAAATTGACAACAATTTCTGAAGAAAAGTAACATTTTTCCATTTCATATTCATATTAGAAAACACTGAAGTTATCACAGAAATAAGTTTACCGCTATTACTCAGTCAACTTGTGGAAATGGCAGTACTTTTAGTACCAGTTAGTGGTATTACAATAGCAGTAATTATACCACTGGTCCTTGTAATGGTAGGGTACATGGGGAAATTGTGTGACTTAAGGCTGCCCCCTGAAGGCCTGTTTTGGTAATTCATGTCCTGTCTCACATGATGTCTGCATTCAGGGAGACTCAGGAGGTCCTCTGATGTGCCCAAACAAGAATCAAAATAGGCCCTGGGTACAGCTGGGCATTGTGAACCAAGCAGACGGATGTGGTGAAAAACCTTCAATTTTTGCCAACGTTTCGTACTACAAACTCTGGATCTTTGACAAGTCGGGTGTGAAGCTGTAGAAGAGTGTCTCTGGACCAAAGATGGCTTGGCGCGCAAAACTGCTCTATTTTTTCACCCTTGACCTGTTGATATGTACCCTTCTCTACGCAAACTGCCTCTGACATCCATGAAATACATTTCCAGCAGGCTTACGCTAAACAATAAACACTGTGCATATAAACATTGAAATGTCATCTCTTCCATTGTAGAAATAAACAGCATTTAATAAAGTTGCACTGGTTTCAAAATGTATCACTTCAAAGCTGAGGTAATTAGCATTAAATAAGGTTACTCGGTATATCTAATCCATTCATCAGAACACAGCAGCTAATTAGGTCCTGTGCATGGTTAGGTCACAGTTACAGCCCTAGTTTTGTGTTGTAGGACACGGTTAGTAAAGATGTCGCTTGTCGGCACAGTTCAGCTACTGTCTGTCATGATGAGTGAGGCTCCCGTTTGCTTTGCCATCACCACACACTCAGGGTGTGGAAACTGTCATTCTTGACCTTGAATGACCACAAAAACACAGGAAAACCCTCACTGTAGATGTGGCACCTTAAAGGCATTTAAAACACCATTACAACTGATATTGGAATTTATTCATGGTCAATGTATAGTACATTTCATATAATTGTATTGCCCAAACAATGTTAAAAGGAGTGATGCGTAACAGCCATGAAAAGCTCACATTGATTTTTGGGCTTCCTAATTCACACTTTTTGTAGCAAAACCAGAGCCCCTTGCGCTGAAACGGTTTCCTGTCCCTCACCAATAACACAATAATGTTGATGATAACTGTCCATGCATGGGTGTGTGTGCGTTCATGGCAGGATGAGGCATTATGGGAGTTAGTGATCAGTAGAAGGAACCAGCTGAGGTCTTTGATCTCTTGCACTGGCCAGTTGACTCCTTCCAGCACTCTACCTCTCCTAATGCCCATCTGTGTACCACAGCTACCCTCCATTGCATCTTGTAACTCCTCTTCCATCTGGATATCCATTGTTCCTGATGTCTGACAGGTTCACTAATACACCCAAAAATTAACCATTGAAATTGTGCTACATGCAAAATTGTACCTAACATAATAATCTGAAATTCTCACATTGTGCCCTTATAATTAACAAATCAAGCAAGTCTGGTAATCACTTGCAGCGCTCTCTTCTCAAGTGGCTGCACTCTCCCTACTGGGAATCACAAACCATGCTCAAACCTGCACTTTAGGGTAAGTCTCAATAGTTTCAGTTTCCATCCTTTATCTCCTTCGTGAAATTTAAACATCAATGAGCTAGTGAGAAAAACAAGGAAGGAAACAAAATGCTATTGTTCACTCCCTGAATTTCGCACGAGTGTCAGCAGGAAATGATTCACCTTTAATCCTACTCTGCTGATATTAACATGACGAAGTGTTTAGAGATCACTAAAGATATTGGTATGGACAATTTGGTATCAAAGAATATTGGGCCTCATTCACCAACCGTTCTTATGAACAAATTAGTTCTTAAACCCCACGTACATACTTTTTTATGAAGATTCTGACATTCACCAATGTTTTCTTATCTGAATTTGTTCTTAGCTAAGAACAGAATCTATGCACACTCAAGACCATTCGTACACACATTTCAGTAATGATAGTTTGTTCAAAATAATCAGTTATAGCAGTTTTGTTCATTCTACAGTTGATAAAATGATAGTATTTCAATAATGTGTAAAAGTAAAATATAAAAAAATTATTTTAAAGTGTAAAAATTATTTTCATGGTAGTGACGGAAAACCAAGAAGGCCCCGGGACCAGACAGTGTATCCCCCTCCTGCCTCAAAACCTGTGCTGATCAACTGGCTCCCATCTTCAATCGCATCTACATTAGATCCCTGGAGAAGTTCCCTCCTGCTCCACCATTATCCCAGTCCCCAAGAAACCCATCATCACAAGACTGATTGACTACAGACCTGTAGCCTTGACGTCTGTGGTCATGAAACCCTTTGAACGCCGTTTGAAGGACATTACAGGACACCAGCTGGACCACCTGCAGTTTGCCTACCTGGCAAACAGGTCGGTGGATGATGCAGTGAATATGGGGCTGCATTATATCCTGCAACATCGCGACCGTGAAGAACTGCGGAGTTCTTGAAGTTCCTGGGTACCACCATTTCCCAGGACCTGAAGTGGGAGACCAACAACTCCTCCATCCTCAAAAAGGCCCAGCAGAGGATGTACTTCCTGAGGCAACTGAGGAAGTACAGTCTTCCACAGGAGCTGCTGATCCAGTTCTATACTGCAGTCATTGCATCTGTCCTCTGCTCCTCCATTACAGTCTGGTATGGAGCAGTCACTAAACAGGACAGGAACAGACTGAAGCAGACCGTACGGACAGCAAAAAAGATCATCGGTGCCCCCCTGCCCTCCATCCAGGACCTGTCTCTCTCAAGATCCTGGAAAAGGGCAGGGAAAATCATCACAGATCCCGCACACCCTGGACACAGACTTTTTGACCTGCTGCCCTCTGGCAGACGATACAGAAGCCTGCAGACCAGGACCACCCAACACAGGAACAGTTTCTTTTCCCTCGCCATCTCCCTCTTAAACAGCTGAACTGTTATAGAATCAGATTTGTGCCAATATTATCAAGCAAAACGTTTTTGACATCAAGCAAAAACAAGGCTTCGAGAAGAAAAAAAAACTAACTGAAGTAAAAGAAATGTCATCTCAAAAGTAAAATTTATAACTTGCAAACACGATTGGTCTTTTGATAATGTTTTCCTTTGTTTACGCTGCCAGCTTTTTCGCTTGCGCTGCTTGACTTTGCGGTTACGCTGCCAGCTTTCTTGCTTGCGCTCCCTGACACAAACTTCTCGCGTGGGCGGGTTTTTTCAGGGACGCGTCCCCATTGGCTAATAAGTTTTTGACTGACAGGTCAATGCCACGGACATTTTTAATAAACAGTGGGACTGGACCGACATTAACTACCCACTGACTAATTTTTACTGGATGCGACAAGATGATTAACAAGGTGTAAATGATGATGTTGTTTGTGCTGCACTATACATTTTATTGTGCTAAATTAGAAGTGAAGTTAAGCTTTTGCTATGTAATTTGCTTCAGTTTTTTTTCTTCTCGAAGCCTTGTTTTTGCTTGATGTCAAAAAAGTTTTGCTTGATAATATTGGCACAAATCTGATTCCATAAACTGTCACACTGCGAAACACCTACAGCATTGCAACTGCACTTTATGTACACTCTGTAGTAGTATATATTTCTGTAATTTTTGTATGAGTTGAAAAACAAGCGGCACTGAGGGGAGTCTGGTAGGACACTCTGGGTGGCTCTCCCTTCCAGAAGCTGAGAAACCAGTGCGCTCAACTGGTCCACCTGCCGTTGGAGTGCTGATGAGTTCTCCGTTGGGTCCATCTTGACACGATTGGGCAGGACACCAGAGTCGGGACCCAGAATGTGGGAGACACCAGGTTTATTGCGAAACCGATAAATGACAAATCCAAAGGGCAGCACTGGGAACGTAGTTGGGGACGGAGCAGAAGGGTCGTGAGCCAAGGGGATCAGTCCTACATGATCACACAGGACACGGGGAAGGGCAGGACAGGAGGCTGGAACAGGCAGGAGGCAGGATGACAGGAGGTCCAGGACGGGCAGGCGGGACAGGCGAGGAGGACAGGGCAGGCAGGATACGCGGGGCAGGAGAGAGAGACAATAGACGATCAATCGCTCTGCAAGGCACACCTAAACAATGGCAACAACACTTCCCGAGGTCCGCTGGTCCAGGACCGTCCTTTTAACTAGAAGGGGCGGTTCCCTTCCGGGTTGAGTCCGCTGTGGGGCGTGGTCTTGGCAGTTGGTTGCAGAGGCTGATGAGCTGATGGGATGATGGCACTCAGGAAGGCACGGCGTTTAGAGCAATGGAGTGGAGCCCCTTGGATTCTCTCTCCTGGTGAAGCTTTGTCTTGGTTGCAGTTCTCTGTTCAGCTGGGCCATTACCGGAGGGCTTCTTGTGGGGTTCTTTTCTCCTGGGCTGATGTTCTCTGCCTCTCTTCGGGCTGATGGGCTTTTCTTTGCTCTTTGATGATATTTCTGCTCTCTTCTTTGTTCTGAGGTGCCAGGTTTTATGGTCTAAAGTTCATGAATAGGGATGACCAGGAATTCGACTCCTGGACCAATGGCTGGCCATCCATTTGGCGGGCTTTCGGAAGGGGGTCCATTTGGGATTTATGACCAGACTGATTCTCCCTTTACTGATGATTTTCATTAAGCTGTTATAACTTTTGATACGTCCACTTTCATGGTAACCACTGACCAGATTTGGAATCAGGAGTGATTGTCCATCAGTTTGACACCAAACATGCCATACCAGCTTCACAGGTTCGCACCTCATACCATCTGTATTAATTGATTAACAATTACTTACATTATGTATGTAACTGATTCACATCATATGATACAGGTGTTTTGGGTTGCACCTTAACAGATGTTACACTTTGTACAGACATTACATCACATATTCACATTAAAAACAGCACATCTTATCCTTAGATAGGCGTGGCCATTAGTTTGTGGTAATACCAATATAAATTGTACATCTGGAAACAACATATTTTGTTTGGTGTGGCTTATCCCAATTGATCTTCTATAGAATGGATAATGTACACCTTAATTCAGTTCTTTTAATATAGCATGGTAGAACAAAGAAAGCTTGCTAACGTACCACCAAGATCAGATAAGGACCACGAAAGAATGTGGAGAAAAAGGGGGGTTGTTAAAGAAAGAAAGAAGACTCTCTGAAAGTTAGGACACACTGGTTACACTACAGTATTTAATTTTCCAGATTCTTCTGGTATAACCATGAGAACATACTGTATATGCAGTGGTAGCTATACCTAAATATTTATTCAAATTTATATGTGTTCAAGTGCAAAAGGGTAAAATAGGTGATACTCCGTGAACATGGTTGTACGGGTGGCACACAAAACATTAAGATTGTCTAAGGACACATACAAACATAACCTATCTGTATATTGAGACTAGTAGTCATGAGTAAATCAATATACAGGGTATACAAAAGCCAAACTTAAATGAAACTTTCTTTAGGGTGTTGGGCTGTTGGGTGAATGGTATGTAAGGCAGAATGTATGGGGAGGGGGTTGTGTGCCAAGTCGAGGAACCCCTGTCCATTAGGTCCACTCTGATGTCTGTAGGTCCCTAAATCTT